TATGCTAATGTATGCATTGCAGGAGACAATAATGCAGTCCCAGACAAAGATAAAGATTATAGAAATCCCCCCCACCCCCAAAAGGAAAGGAGAATACTCCCTTCATCTTTTAATAATATGGTAAGAGAACTTAACTTGAAAGATGTGTGGAGAGAATTAAATCCAAATAAAAAACAATATACTTTTTTTTCAAACCCCCACCACTCTTGGTCCAGAATAGATCAGATATGGATGGATCCTGGGTTAATGGAGAATATTGAAAGGATCAAGATTTTGCAAAATCTATGGGCTGACCATAATCCCATTCAAATTAAATGGAAAGGAAGCATAAATATCCATAAATAGCGATAAGATGTGTATATTTAAAGTAAGGTAGGAGAATTGGATCTTGTAGACTGTCAAAAAGAATATTTGTCTGGTTTTAACGTATTTTCTTTTTTCTTTCGTCTCTTTGTTTTTTTTTTTTTTCTCTCTCTTTTATACTTCTTCTTCTCCTTTTTCGGTCGCAAGACCGAGCGGTTTTTTTTTTTTTTTTCCTCTCTCTTTCTCTTCTTTCTTTCTTCTTTTTCTCTCTCTGTTTCTTATGTAATGTTGTTATGTTATTTTTTTAATTGTAAATTCAATAAAATTTATATGAAACAAATTAAATGGAAAGGAAAGAGAAAAATTGGAAGATGGACATTTAACAATACCATATTAAGAGATAAAGAATATATTGAAATAATAAAGAATTGAAGGTATTTTTTGAAATAAACAAAAGAGAACATACCTTTCTACAGAATCTTTGGGATATGGCCAAAGCCCACGAGAGAGGTCTAACTATTGCTTACAATATTAAAAAGAATAAAGAAAAAAGACAGCAACAAAACATATGGAGGGAGAAATTGAAAGATTTGGAAACAAGTAGACAAAAGGACCCAAACAATTCAAACATTAAGAAAGAAATAGATCTAGTAAAACATAAGATAAATCTAAATGTACAGGAAGATTTGGCCCAAAAAATTAAATTAGCAAAACAAAATGCTTTTGAAAATGCAAATAAGCCGGGAGGTGGTTAGCCCATAAAATTTAAAAAGAACAAGAAAAGACAACGATCGTAGCTCTCCAAGATCAGGAAGGGAAATTATGCACGCAAACCCAAGAAAAGAAATTGCTAAGGAGTTTTTTTATGAAATTGTATAAACAGGAAGAAATACCAGAAGAATCTATTGATAAATATTTGAATGAAAAGAACTTGCCTGAAATTACTGATGAAGAGAAACAAAATTTGAATAATAAAATCTATAGAAGAAATTAGGAAGGCAATTGGAACACAAAAAGCAAATAAGATCCCTGGCCCGGATGGAATTCCTTTGGAATTCTATAAAAAATTCCAAGAAATAATAGAGATATTGGTGGACTTGTACAATGAAGCCCTGGAGAATGCTAACATACCTAAATCATGGTTGGAAGCATATATTACCCTTATTTATAAAGAACAATCAGACCCCCCCAAAATTCAAAACTATGGACCAATATCACTTTTAAATGTAGATTACAAAATAATGGCTACAATATTGGCGGAAAGATTAAAGAGAGTATTAAGTAGAATTATCCACACTGATCAGAATGGCTTCCTCCCCCACAGGCAAATAAAAACAAATACAAGAACCATTATGGATATATTAGAATATTATGAAGTATACTCAACCAAGACAATGGCATTGATATTTTCAGATGCCCAGAAGGCATTTGACAACTGATAGGCATGAAATTTGGTGAAAATTTTATAGGATATTGGGACGTATTTAAATAGTAAAAATGAATATTTTGCCAAAATTGTTGTTCTTGTTTCAGACAGTGCCAGTCAAGTTGGAAAAGGATTTTTTTGTAGAATTAAACAAATGTGTATCTAAATTTATATGGCAGAGGAAAAAACCCAGAGTGAAATCTAAATTATTACAGGATGCCAAGAAAAAAGGAGGATTTGGCCTTCCAGATTTTGAATTATGTTATGATGCTGCTATAGTAAACTGGCTTAAGGTTTGGGTTAAATTAGAAAATAGAAGGTTATTAGTATTAGAAGGTTTTGATCTCCAACTTGGCTGGCACACCTCCATGTGGGATGGAAAATCTAAACAACATTCATATGTCCAAAGGCACCATGTAAGAAATGTGTTGTTTAATATCTGGGGAAAGATTAAAAAAAACCACTACCCAAAGGTTCCATTGTGGCTATCTACATTGGAAGCAGTCACACATCCAAATTTATTGGATTAGGAAAATATTGTCAGGTATAAAGATTTATTATATGATACTGGAGAGCTTAGAAATAGGAACCAAATAAAAATTCAAGGAAAGGAGACAGCATGGTGGCCCTTTGCATAAATACAAACCCATTATAAAAAAGATAGAGAACAATTTGGCTTTAATATGACCCCACAAGAATTACATAAAATATGGCTAGGAGAGGAAAAGAAAACAATTAGTAAAACATATATCTTTTGGACTACAAATTAAAAGAAGAAACAGTCACAGAATCTATGATAATTTGGGCTAAAAACGTGGGTCATGGTATTGAAATAGATAAGTGGGAACACATCTGGCAAACAAATTACAAATTAACCATGTCAGTCTCGTATAAAGAAAACTTATATAAAATGGTTCATCGCTGGCATCTACCTCCTGCAAGACTGGCTAAGATGTTCCCCAACCTACCACCCAACTGTTGGAAATGTAACTACGCACAAGGAACATATTTTTACATGTGGTGGACTTGCCCATGTGCTCAGAAGAGAAATACTGGAGAAATATTAGAAATTGGATTTTAAATATAAAAAAACAAAATTTAAAACTTGAACCCAAAACCTTTCTGCTAATTATGATAGACTTAAACATGGAGAAAAATATATCAATATTTAATTTTGCACATCATAACTGCGGCCAGAATAACCTACGCATAAAACTGGAAACTGTCTTCCATTCCTTCAGAGGATATGGTAATTAAAAAAATACATGAATGTGCTGAGATGGATAGCCTAACCAAATTGTTAATAAACAAGATAGTCACTATTATGAAATATGGAACATTTGGTATGAGTGGTTAAAGAAAAAGTAATATTTGATATTTGGATAAGTTATGGAAATGACAGAAGATGTGCATTTAATCATAAACTGTATAGAGAAATTAAAACATTAAAAGAACGAAGGAGTTACTGTTACAAGGCAGATCATGTCAACGATAAAGAAAAAAAATTAACCATTGCTCAATATATGCTGTAAAATGTATATATATATATACCATATATATATATATATACACACACACATATACATACATCATACATTACATACATACACACACACACACACACACACACACACATATATATATATGGCATTCAGCTTTGTTCAGGTATTTTCCCACGTCATTGTAGTTGTGCTTTTAAAGTTGTAGCAACGTTTCGGCAGAATCTCATCTGCCATCATCAGGCTTCTGTATTGTGTTCATCAGGCTTATATATATGTGTTGATTTGTCTGTTTTAAATGTATGTCAAATAAATGTTTTTTTCTAGAATAAAAAAACAGAATTAGAAATAATCTGAGATATTTTACTATGCTTCATAGAAGTTCGAATTTAAGTTTTCTGCTACAAAAGACAGCTGTGGATGTTTCTATATAATACAGTGCTATAGTTCAGAACATAAATGCTAAGTGACATGGTCTCAAGTCATCATGCAACCAGACCTGATTTTATGACCATTTTATCCCAATCATCAAGCAAATCACATGATCACTAAATAAATGAATCCTACTTGCCCAGTTGATTTTCTTGTCAGAAGCTGGCTGAAAGAAAGGCTGGCCCATTTGAGTAGTTAAGAAGCATTCCATTTGGATTCCACAGATAGAAGAAAGCATATGAGTTCAGACACTAAGGTATATTTCTGGCTTTTCCAGGGGAAAGTAGACAGTCTTATGTACAATTGAGTCAATAAAGAAACCTAAGCCTGGGAGCATTTTGTTTGCACCTGGCAGCTAGAAAGGTCACAAATCATGATCACATGACAATGCAACCATCATAAATGTGAAGCGGCTGCAAAGTGCCCAAATTATAATTAACTGCATGATTGTGGAGGTGGTGCAATCGTCATAATTTCAAGGATGGGGTGTCAGCTAAATACGAGGCAGCAATTCCAGAGGTGGGATTCTCAACAGCACTCCCCCCACCCGCGCATCTTGACCCTTCAATAACTCACGAAGGCAGAAAACAGCCGCCACCCACCCGGTAAAAAGAGAAAAGCGGCGCCCGCCATCATCTCCTCCTTGACTCCGTCCGACTCACCTGCAGGTGGTTTTGCCCACACCGCCTTTCCCGCCCACGAAAATCCACTTCAGGCTCCGTTGCTCGATAATGTTGCTCAGCGTCGGCTCTAACGGCTCCACATCAGGCGCGTCCTCGAACTCTTCCGCTTCAGCCGACAGCCCAGACGCCACCGCTGCCATCTTGGAACAAAATCACGTGACAAGATGCTCGGCTACACCATTTCAAAGCGGGGCTCTAATGTTAACAACCGGCGCATCAACGTTTAACAGGGAGAGAAACGGCACGTCTTGTGGCCTCCTCTTGGACTTAAATCCTTAACGTCATCGTGTTAAATCACCGCGTCACAAACACATCTGACGCCAGAATAAACTACACCCCATACCTCTGAATGGTTGGTATATTCCTGTCTAAAAATTTTTAACTGGATTGGTCGCTTAAGTACTTTTCCCGATTGGCCTCGGCATAAGCGGAAGACGACTCAAATACCTCCCCTCCTTTTCTCCGATTGGTAAAGGTAGGTTCATCTTAACCGGTGATTTAAGCGTCTGTTTTGATTGGCCGAAAGAGCTGTCGATTCTTGGGCCATCGGAGCGCCGTGCGCCTCAATCTGCAAAAAATAAAAAAATAAAAATTCATTTGACGTGCGCGTGGCCGGACCTTAACGACAGAGGCTTTCCCGGGATGCTTTGCGGCGGACTGGCTTCGTAATCGTTTCCCATCATCCTGTGGGCGCGCGCAGGCTGGGTCAGGGAAGGGCTCGAGAGATGGCCGCGGCGCCAGGCGGAGAAGGCCCGGCTTCCGAGGCGGCAGGACCGGGCGGCGTCAACGTGTTCGCCAACGACGGTTCTTTTCTCGAACTGTTTAAGCGGCGCATGGAGGAAGCCTCTGCGTCGGGAGGAAAGAGTGGACGAGAAATGCCGATCGCCGGAGCCGAGAAGCGGAAAGAGACCGAACCGCGGCCAGAGCCTCCCGGGGACCCAGAGCCACCGGGAAAGAAGCGGAGCGGGAGCGCCCTCAGCTTCGTAAGGGATCTGGGCACTGACCTTTTCTCTTCTTCCCCTTTTATCCAACCCCCTCCCCCTCCTTGGCCTTCCTCGAAGGACCGAGGAGCAAGAACCCTTTTTGTCAGTTTGCTTTCTCTCAACATTAGGATTTCTTGAATAAACGTAGGCAGTAATTCTCCAGGTGCCGCCTCTCTACGCTATTCGCTTCCACCGACCACCATCCCGCCTAGTATTCCCTCCTCCCTATAAAAGATTACTTTCTATTAAAGCAATATGAAGTTAGCAGGACAAATGTTGCATTTTATTCTTCCTCCCCTCCCACCCACCCCCGGTCTGTTTTGAAAAGGCATCATATTGGACCCATCTTTCTAAGCATATTTTGGGTATTTGTGGCTATTTAGTAGATCTCCCCCCCCCCCCACTTCCTCACTGTATTAGTTCCCCTTCCCCACCCGAAATCCGAGTAGAAACATGAACAGATCCACAGTTTTTTACAGGACTGTGATGCTCCATGCTCCACACCATTCATTCCTGGCAGGTTTATATGGTTTGCTGGGCTTCATCATATTGGCTGAATAATTATTACTCTATGCCATAACCCTAACCTTGATTTGATAAGGGTCTATGGCAGGGGTCTCCAAACTTGACTGCTTTAAGACTTGTGGACATCAACTCCCAGAATTCCTCCTCCAGTCATGTTGGCTCGGGAATTCTGGGAGTTGAAGTCCACAAGTCTTAAACTTGCCAAGTTTGAAGATCCTTGGTCGATGGTGACAGATGTCCCAAGAGAGTTTTCCTTTTGTGAATGTGAAGCTGCCATTCTTGACATGCATATAATGTAGATTTTTTTTTTTTGAAAATGGAAGCAATAGAGATGGGAACACTTTGATCTGTTAATACGTAATGCAATATGCTTTGCTCTTAGTTGTCTTTGGGAAAACTTCATTTTAGGCTGATTCAGCCTTTATTAAAACACACGTAAATTAAGTGGTATGCATTAAAAAGTTTATCAAAATGTTTTTGAAATGAAATTGCTTCCCCCTCATACATGTTTGTTGCTAGTGAATAGTAACAAACGTTTCTTAATACATTGGGGGTTTTTTTGTGTGTATTCACAGTTTTAAACTCATCAGTGTGTCTCCTGGGACCCAAATGAAATCTTTTTGTTCTTGTTAATGTGATACAATAAGTCTGAAATATACTGAACCATTTTTATTTGCACTGGCTAGGGAAAATTGCAAGTATGACTTTATTCATCCTACATTAAGCATTAATTATACTTTTGAACATGAGAAATCAAGTCTGTTCTGCATTAAATGAAATATGATAATCCTGGCCATATTTATTGACCTGTAATTCTAATTGGGTTCAATTGAATTTATTCCTAGGTATCTGTAGGCATTGTAGCCTAAACATTACAAATAAAGATGTTTTATTTCCAGTCTTTAAAATGTTGGGTGGAAGTTTTTAATTATAAACTGTTTTCCAACATGTATGTTTGCATCACCACATATAAAACAATTTGTACTTGCAATGCATGTGGCATTGCTCCAGAAATGGATTGGGGAGGGACTGCTGTACTATCTAAAAGTGATAATTGGAACCCCTGTTTTGTTTATTGCTAACTGAAATTGACATTTTCTATTTTAAACTGTCCTTTTCAACTGAAGATCAAAAATTGTGTTTTTCAGTATAAAAACTGAATCACATACATGCTTATATGGTATTGTAAATACCATTTTAAATGTATGCAGCAGGCCTTTACAGTTATATCTAAGATTATATTAGCATATACCACACTTCCCAAGACTATCAAAAAGATAATTATTGATTTTGAATTAATGTTGTATTGATTCTGATAACTTTATTGCTTTCATGACTTTGAGCAAATAAAAGTTCTTCACATAATGTATTCCAGATTGTTATATTGTAGGGAAATAAAAGTAAAAATAGAATGGTGTTCCTATTTCCCACCAGGCAGCAAACCTGAAAAGAAATTGGAATACTTCCATTTCTTGTTACTTGTTAATGTCTTTTAATGTTTGGGCTTAACTGTACAGATGTATTGGTGAACACTGCTAAGGTGCCCTTTTACCCTCCTAGCACAGCGGTGTAGGTAACGCTCGGCAGCTCTGTACAGACTGACAGGTGTGATGGCGAGCTAAGATGATCTAATTGAAGGACTCCCTATACCGTTATATAGTGGGCAACATTCCCCTTGCAGCTCCCAGGCTCGTATAACGGTTGCAGTCTTCTATCCCTTCACCCAGGTGGGCAAGCGGAGAGGGGGCAGCAAGCTAGCCCTGAAGACAGGAGTGGTAGCCAAGAAACAAAAGACAGAGGAGGAGGTAAGCTGGGACACATCAGGAATAATAAATTGAGAGATGAGGGGCAGCATGGAGCTTCCTAAAAGTTTCAGTGAAAAAAGTAGCACTGTTGTTTTCATTTCAGCATTCTAGAAAGTGAAGTTGAGCTCTTTTACCTTCATGCTACCCTAGTTTGAAATTGACAATGGGATCTGTCCTTATGGGCTTGAGAAAATAGTGAATTGTTTCTTGTTCATTTGTAATAAGAACATTTTCATTCATTTCCCAAATCTGCTTTAAGTGAGATTTTTTATGTTTATTTTTGGTATATAAAATGCATTTAGCTCCAAAAAGATCAGAGCAGCAATGTATTATCCTATTGGTCCTAACTGTACCTTATGTAGAAGATTAGAATGAGACAGGGTAATCGAAAGTCCATGCAGTAAGTATTTGGCTGACATCTCCAATAAAATTACAAACTCTGGTTTCAATTGAATGGCTTTCCTAGATTTATATATAGGCTGATGTTCATGGGAACTGGTACCCTAAGAATGCTTTTAAGTCCAATTCTTTAAATGTGTATTCTGTAACTGGCTCCTTTTTTTTCTGTTATAGGTTTTGACAAATAAAGGAGATGCATGGGCGAAATATATGGCTGAAGTGAAAAAGTACAAAGCCCACCAGTGCAGTGATGATGATAAAACCCGGCCTTTAGTGAAATAACTTTTATCTCCAGCCTGGACTGTCTGTGATGTACATAATTATTTAAAATATCAAAGGAGTAGTGCTGTCCCACAAGACTGAATGCTGCCATGGCAGCAGGAGACTTGCCATACTTTTATATTTGAAAACTTAAGAGCCTCCTTCACTGATTCGTTTATTGTTTTCCCCTTCTTCTGAGAGCTAAGAACTTTGACTTAGTTGCCAGATTTTTAATTTGTAACACCCTCTCTCCAAATAGTGGAATTGGTCTGACATTTCTTTCCCCAAATCATCAGGCATCAGGCATTCCTTTGCTGATAAACCTTCAGCATTGAGCCTTTGCTTAACATTTTCTGTACCCCTGAACTTTTTACTATAGGACATGCTAAGAAGCTCTCTTTATCAAATTCAGTACCTTTTACTGCTGAAGATAAATTTAAAATATGGTTGCAAATAGTAAGTACTGCAGACTGTAGTAATTCCAGAGCTTGAAGTAATCCCTCTCTTCACTATGAAAGACAAATGAATCTGGATCTCTTGATACGTTTAATGTCTGACTGTTCTGTAGTTGCATTTTTGCCCGTATTGTTCTCTTCCCTTACTTCAATTTCACTGCATATTGCAGTGAATTATGGAGTTTTGTATTTAATTCCAGCTGCTGCGTAAGTTTTTTCCTAGTCTTTTCCTATGCATGCTCCAAATCTAATACTGGGGGGTATCCTGTGCCTGTCTACTATCTAAGAAGCAAAATGCTTGGTCTGTTTTTGTACCAAGTATTATATATTTGAGAAGAATCACTAAAATTACCTTAGGTGCTCTCTGCAATGAATTCTAGATACTATAATTTTAACCTTTGACTGCTCCTATGCCCCACTCCCAGGTGTTATGAGCAGAGGTCCTTGGTTCTGAAAGCAAAAGCTTAGGTCTGTAGCCATTGTATTGATAATGGGTTTTTGCATGCATGGGGCCTGTGCTCTTTTACCACTTGTTTACATATGCTGAGTTTGATTTTTTTTAATACTTTCCATAAAATACTGTTGAAATGGAAAGCATCTGATGTGCATTGGACACTGAAATTGAGCAGGGCAATTTCATATAAGGGCTTCTGGTACAATCCCAACAATCGATTTCAAGTCAGGAAACACTAATGAGAACTTCTGTTTTCTGGCTGGCATAGAGAAGCTATTTTTTGTTGTGGGATTGGGTTTCACTTCTAAATGTTATCCAGTTTGTGCCATTTTCTCTTAATAGATTGGGCTGGTTTTTGAGCTGCACTATTAATGTGATATTCAGAAAGATGGATTTGTACTCTGGAGAAAAACAAAGGTTTGATCTCACTGTTTGGGTCTATTTTTCCGTTCTTCAATCATCATTGTTCATCACTGGACCAGATCTATTAAATACATTTATGCCTTGAAAAGGCCATTGGTTTCCACATTATCTTCAGCCTTTGGGTAATGCATTTGAAGAACAATGCTTTCTTTATATCAGGGTTCTTTAAGCATTTTTGCTGGAATTTCACATAAAACATCTGAGTGCTCTTTAGTGTAACTAAGAACTCTCATTACATAACAGGTTTTACATGCACAATGAGCATGTAGGAACTATTTCTGAATATGGTAAGGGAGTGGTTAGATGAAACAAAAATTGTTTTTGCCTCTCATAATATCATGAGATTGCTGTTAAAATACCAGAAAAAAATAAAGATTTAGTATTTTATTTTCAGCCTCCTGTAAAGTGATGCCAATTTTCTTCTTTGTTATATACTCGATCAGGCTTGCGACTTCATTGCTTTTGACCTCTACAGCCCAGATTAGAGTACTAATCATCCTTAATACAGTAATATTTTTTAAATAATAGAATTTTGTTGTGGGTATTTGTTGATATATGTTTCCCATATATATTTTTTCTAGATGGCATTATTTAAACATGCAAAGTCATTAAAACTGTCTACTGAAGGTATAACCATAGCATCCAGATTTTCTTTTGCTTATGTGTTGATAAGAATTCTTTAAATACACATGACACTGATCAATAGTTATCGGAAGGTTGAAAGCTAAACGAGTTGTTCTGCACTTAAAATGATTAGAATTGTTTTCCATAAATATGCATTGTAAAGTTGGAGAAAATGGATTATTTTTCTTATAGTAATTGTGCAGCTAAAAAGTTTATTTCTAAACTGTCATGGTTTGCACATGCAGACACTACTAGGTTCATGCATTGTGCTAAGCCCGAATGAGACAGCCCATGTTAAAGCTTACCATATTGCATAAACATAGTTATAATTACATAATGGAAAAAATGGCATTTCTGTCTATAAACTAGTGAAATGTTGTGTTTTGCTTTGTTAATGAAAAAAAACAAGATGCATTTGCCTTTTTCTGAGTTATATTTACCATATTTTTGAAAAAAAAAATAGCAGTTAATGGAATAGGTAAAAACCATAGTAAGTGGAGCATGAAAACAGTTCCTTTCACAGTACACAAGCTGTTGCTCATATTTTCCAGAAGTTCTTTGACTATTGCATGTACTTTGTATTTTGAAATATATCTTTTACTAAATGGTGGTCACTGCTGTTCATAAATAACTTCATTTCCACTGCCCAAGCTATTTTCATATCAAAGTTACAATTTGGGGTTATATTACTAGGTTTAATCAATCATATAAGCCACATGGAATTGATCCTGTTCTGTGGATTTTTTTTTCTTTTTATGAAGTAAACAGTAATTACCTTACCAAGTGATTCTTTGGGATAGAAAAAAGAAGTTGTTATTGATAACACTTCTCAGGTGATAGTCCCTTATAGTAGACCGCCCATCTTTTGCATCTCCCCCTTTTTGATTTTCCAAACCAGTTAAGGAGAGGGGCTTTAAATATCCTTACATGCAGCACTGGAGACAGTGATCTCATCTCTTGAAAGGAGCTATGCCACTTTTTAAAGTCTTTTATATATTGCCTGCTCCAATGTTCTGAGTGGCTACAGGGAATTCATTGATGAAGTGAAATGTTTGGTACAATATTGTACCCTATAGGAGACTGCTTGTCCTGAAAGATATATGCCATGTTATTTTCCTCTGGATTATGATTTACTAAATACCAATTTTGATATTTCCCATATCTCTAAACAGCAAGGAGATATTAATACGCAATAGAGCTTGCTGGCTAGAGTATACTAGTAACTTAAATAGCAAACGCCATCTTTACTTCTGCCACTTTTTTTGTGGTGAACTTCAAAATGAAGATACAGGCAATACCAAGAGATAACATAGGGCAAGGACTTTCAGACAAAGAAATGTACTTTAAAATGGGTCTCCTAGTCTGTAGACTGCTACCAGTTTGTGTTTTATTGGCAATCGGACCATGAAAACAGCGGGCAAGCGTGTGCAACCCCCCCCCCCCCCTTTTGCTGATCCACAGAGCTGGAAAGGTTGGAGACTGCTGCTTTAAAATATGGATTCTATTCACTTCAATCATAGAAATGGTATCACGGGCAAGGAAAACTGTATCTTCTCCCTCTGAGCAGATGAAGAGGAATCTATTGAATGCTGACCTCTAATGAGATTTGCCCCTTCAAAGCACTGCTATTTGAAAGCATAAACCACATAAGTCTCAACAGCAATTGCAGATTCATTTGAAAAGATGAGAAGAAAGTAGTTGTGGTCTTTCACTGTTTGCTTTGTGGGACTGGGGGGTCATCCAAAATAATAATCCTTGCCTTAAACTGATTATTAGACTTTCTCTTGGTTCCTTTAATATTCTGTATTGTCTTATGGTCAAATCATTGTTTGACACATTGAGCTGTTTCCTCCCTGCTAGTTTTGGAATTACAAATAAAAGACTATTTGTAGTATGGCTTAGAAAACAAATATGACTTCATTCCCAAATCCAATGTGACTTTCTTGTTGCAATTACAATTTCCAAGATTCCTTACAATACTGCAGGTCTGCTGGGAGTTCCATTCAGAAACTTCAGAAGGGCCATACAATAGCAAGATCAAATCCTACTACTGCATAGAATCGTGCTTGATTACAACATGGCAACTAATTTCTAACTATTAAAGGTAAAAGAAAAAACAGAATCAATGATAAATTGATTCAGAGTATCTCATTCTACTCACTTTCATTAATAGAAAAGTTTTCTACAGTCATCTTGGCCAATGTATGTACTTTAGAAGGCACTGCTGACAATCTATTTATTTTCCATTTCAATGCAATATACATCCGGTTTTTTTAATCTTTCAAGCACTAGATCTTTGCTATGAACAATACATAATCAGAAAAGCACTTTGACATTTCTGTACTTGCAAGGCAATAAACAATATGACTTAGGAAAGCCTTTTCACATGTTGGCTTTGCTGCATCATAGTAACGGCCTGCCTTAACAGGTTCTTATGGAACAAAATCTTCATGTAAGACAAATAGTAGATTGCCTACAAATAAACATTTCTTCACTCTTCAGAATATATGGATGCTTTAACTTGCAACCAGCATCTAAAAGGATCTTACCATACTGAATCGTAAACTTTCCATAAAAATATTTCTCACTTTAAACAAGATATATCTATTTATATATCAACACTTCTTCCATATAGTAGAAAGGCAGAAATTTCACATTGTGACAAATAATCTGCACTTATCCCATCCCTGCTCCTTCCAGTGAACTTCACCCAAATGAAGATTGAGTGAAACAAAGCATTGCTTTCAAAATCTGTTACATCCATGTGATTTTCCTCTAGTCTGGTGAATAAGCATTAGGTGGAGAATCTGCTTGCCCTATTGGGGTTTGAAAAGAGGCACCATACACTTCTTCAAAATAGATAAAACTCTTATTTGATGAGCAAGGAAAAAGAGCAAGGAAATTGTATCCTTTTCTCCCAACTAAAACAAAAATAGTTTAAAAGAAGCACTTCCAAAAGCAAATGGGTTCAGTCTCCTTCCCTAGCAATGTTACAGCTTCAAGCTACACTAGGTAGGTAGCTAGCTAGCTAGCTAGCTTCTAAGGCTTGTTTTCTGCATTGCATACCTGTATTGATAAATTTTCAATAGTGGCCCGAACATAAAATGCCTGGGTTTTTTTCTATATTAAATTATTTTTCTCCAAGAACTGACCAGAGCTGGTATAATAGCCTTAGAATTTCTCTTAATTTGTAAAATCTTAAAGAGATCTTCAGCATCAGCTTTAAACAGCTTTCTCTTTCATTAACAAGTTAGAATTCCATTACAGTTTCCTACGAAACTGTACAGTTCCTACAGTTTCGTACTCAGTAACTTAACGGACTTACAAAAGTATGAGGGTAGATAATTGGGTCAAAGAATAATCTTGATTTTCTACAAAACTAAATTGTGAGTAGAGTGGAAAGTTAGTTCTGCCATTTCCTTGTTTCCTTCCAACCCCCAGCCCCAGCCCAATACACTGGATGCAACACTTAAAATATGGCACAAATCATCCTTTAGTACAGCCAGCATAGCTGCATGTGTCCGTAGGGGCTGGGACCGGTTTCTTTGGTGTACCCCAGAATTGTGCAAATAATGTCCCACGTCCCAGGCCCCCAATATATCCACAGCCTGGAAGCATGAACAAGAGCAGGGCTCAAAGCCGCCTCAGTTAGTCTCATAGGAGGAGAGCAGAGCAGCATCAACTGGCTCCATGCAAGAAGGACACGTGAATGATCGCATCAGCCAGTCATCAATGCAGTTTACGTGGTAGATGTGTAGACAAGGCAGGAATCGGATGGGATCTCCATATACAAAATCCAGCATACAGATTACACATCTGGAGAAGTAAAAAGAGAAACTGCTAATACAAAGGTTGCAAGATGGTTACCAGGCCAACTTCTATTTCTTATCCAATTTGCTACTTGGTAAATTTCAATACAACTCCAAAAGACTAGTTGCTATATTGTTTTGCCATACACTCAGCTCTTAAAAATATAATATCAAGCCTCCTGCAATGAAAATTTATGATATTTGAAAGTTCCCCCGTGTTATTTTTTCCAAATGGAAACTTGCAAGAATTGATTTCTTCCATGTATAAGCCACATGTTCTAGACTACAAAAAAATTGCACACAAAGAATGACGGTTTTTAACATGTTATTAGGGTTCTTGATCTCTAGTTTACTGTTTGTCAGGAGATCAGTATATCATTGACCTATCGCATTCTTGATATCAATGTCATGATAACCACAAAGAACCTCAAATGCCCTGTCCAAAACAACAACACTGTTGATGCAGGTATCACCCAACAGATTGTTCTGTGATGCCGGAATGGACTGGTTTCTTGCTGGATGTAAACACCAGAGCAATGTACTCTAGCCTACTGGCTGATGGACTGTTTAACTTGTCTGTCCAGAATGTCTACTTTATAGGAAGCAAATTGGTTATTAATATTACTAAAGTAAGTTAATATTTTAGGACCCTTCCCTTCACACAGCTACTTTGTATTGTGTTGCTGTCTGAGTTTGGTTGTTTACTTGCAAATATTTCACTACTCAACTAGGTAACATCAGTGCTAGCGAATGTGGGGTTTGCCTTATTTACATGTCATAGCTTGCCCTGCCAGTGTTTCTGAGGTGTGGTTTTCTCCTTGATAGTTCCTCAATTAGGGTATTATTTTCTGCTTGTTTGTCTGGTGTTAATCTCTGCTTATTTTGAGTAGTGGTTGCTGGAGAGGATGTTTTGTAGTCTTTTTGTTTCACTGTCTTTTTAATGCCTCTTTTGATTGCTTTGTAACAATGGTTTATCTCTGTATGTCTACTGATGGCTGATTTGTCTGAATATCAAGCTTCCAGGAATTCCTTAGTATTTTTGATCTAGGACGTTCAGTTTCTCATTTGAAACTATGGTTGAGTTTGGTAATATGTTGTGAGATTAAGGCATTTTCATTGTGTCTTGATTGTTAGTTGGTGTTCATGGATGTGATCTGCTAATCTTTTGTTTGTCTGTCCTACTTACCGTCACACACATCACCAACATTGGCAGGGCAAGCTACTATATATGAAGAGGAATAAATCCCAGTCTCACTAGCACTGATATTACTTTGTCTAATAATGAAATGTCTGAAAGCAAGCAAGCAAGCTGAGAAATCATCAAGGACCCCATAGTTCAACCCTGAAGTACATGTATTTTCTTCTGTTGATATTTTGTGTTGGTTAGTTCTTTAGGAGTGAAAAGGTCTGGGCAGAAAAATTGGAGTACAATTTTATTAGTGCATGGTGAAATTTGGAACTGATTTTAAGCATGAAACAGGAACCCAGTCTTAGCACATCTTGAATTAACAAAGTAAAACTTGGCCATTTTTGTATGAATTTCAATAGTTCTGGAATTTGTACTGCCTTTTATACCACCAGTTTAAAGCATACCAAATCAGTTGACAGATTTAGTCATGATTTTTTTGAAGCAAAATTGTAGCCAGAGTGTGACTAGGTAATCAACTTCAAATGCTAGCCTGTTTTCAAGAGATGCTATATGCAATCATTACTTATCCCCTTTTGGGTGAGATCTGCATCTCCTGGGCCATAATGGAATAAACATTACCCAATACCTTGTGCAGAGGTGGAATTCAAATTTTTTAACAACCAGTTCTGTGGGCGTGGCCAGGTGGGCGTGGTCATGTGACTGGGTGGATGTGGCATCTCTTTTCCAGCAACCCCCCCTCCCATTTTTGGGGCCTTCTGGGCCTTGGGAGCCTGCTGGGGGGTGTTTTTGCTCCCAGAAGGCTTCCTGGGGCCCAGGAAAGCAAAAAAATGGAGTGTGGGGCGTGGGGGAGGGAGCTACAGCCCCCTCCTCATTTTTTGCCTTCCTGGGCCTCAGGGAACCTTCCTGGATGAACCTTCAGGGAACCTTCCTGGGTGAAGCAGTAAGACAGCGAGGGGAATCCCAGCACAGTTGATCATAGGAACAGCTGATCATCGGGGGGTGGGAAGAAAAACCTTAAGGCAGTGGTCAACAGTCGGCCGGGAACCACTGGTAGTCCACAAGAAAATGTTGGCGGTCTGCAGAGAAATGTCACCCCACAAAGCAACCCCTAAAGCGATTAATCCTGGCTGCGAGGCAACACAAGGCTGTGCTACCCACATGGCCTATGGGAACACAAGGCTTGATTCACAGTGTGAACAACACGAGATAGTGAGGGGAGGGGGGGAAGGGTGGAGGGGGAGGAACTTGCCTCACTCGCCCCACGTGCCTCGCCTGGCCACCAGGTTGCTTCTTTCCGCTTCTGTCTTCTGCTTTTGGCTGCACGCAAGGAAAGCAGCAAAAGTCTCTCTTTCTCTCCCTCAAGAAATGAGTCTGGGAGATCCTGCAAGGCATCTTGCTCCAATAGACTGCGCCATTCTGACGGAGTTTGGGGGAGAGAAAGAAAGACTTCTTCTGCTTCTGCTGCTTTCCTTGCATGAAGCCGAAAGTCTCTCTCTCTCTCTCTTCCCCTGAGAACGGAGCTGGGAACAGTATCCTGTGATCCCAAATAAAGAATGATCGATCGGTAGGAAAATGGGGTGGGGAATTTTCCTGCAGAGTTTTTGGGGGATTTTCCCAGGGTCTCTGGTCCGCGGGATTTAAAATTATGAGTTTGGTGGTCCCTGAGGTCCAAAAGGTTGGTGACCCCTGCCTTAAGGAGTGATGGGCAGGGAAGAACAGTCAGTGATGTCGGGCATGCACACGATGTTGCACATGCACAATAAGGACTGATGGGGAGGGGCGGGTGGAGAGGGAAGGGTCCAGCAAGGGGCACGATTTGCTGGTTCTCCGAACTGTGCAGAATAATAACAACTGGTTCTATAGAACCAGTCCGAACCGACAGAATCCCACCCCTGATCTTGTGTATATTCACCTTGAATATAACTTGGACAGTTTTGAGTCAGTGTCAATCAAACATAGATAGGCTTTCTGATCATGAAGCCACTAAGACACTGATCCTCTGCTCTGTTTTCTGAAAATTGGGAGGAACATTTCCCTTGTCTGTTGTGAACATGTCATCTGAGAGAGATCTTCATCTAAACTACAGTATAAAACATCTCAGTATAGGGTCCACTCTCCTTAATTCAAGTGCTGATGACTCAACCTGCTTGTTATACTGCTTAGTAATCTCTGCTGATATGGAGCATAGATATTTGTGAACATTGTGGTAGTTGAGAAATGGTACTTCCTCTGAAGGCCCATTATTTCTATCCACCCTACCCGATTACATAGGCTTTTGTCATAACATTGTCCATATGACACCAATTTGTCTAGTGCGAAAATGCCTTCAGAGGCATTTCTACAATTATAATCCCAGTTTGTTAGGAGACAATACTAAACTATGATGGAACCATAATCTCTGCATTAAGATGTTTGGGAATTAGGCTCTGCAACTCATTAGGATAGCTTCTGTTGTTTATTTGATCAGAAAGCCAAATGGTTTTCTGGTCTGCCAGTGTATGATTAGCCACCAATGCAATGACTGGGTTACCTTGCTTGGCATTGTCTTGTGCAGATAGGACTGGGTCTAGGCTGGAAGGAAGTACTGGAGTGATCTGGAATGGAATTGGGCCTATGGTGCTGAATCAAGAATTGTATTATTATCCTTGTAATCTTGCCAGCATCTTGATCTCCGTCCTGCCGATTGTGATTCCCAGGGGCAGATCTGCTTTAATAATATGAATATGCTCTTGATGAAATTCACCATGAGATTGTTCTCTGTGAGGTATCAAAGCATCCATATCAGGCTGTTAATTGCTTTCTCCACAGAAGGCACTCTGATAAACAATTCATTCTAAGATAAAATGAGGAACCATCACTGCCATCTCTCTCCGGTAAATACACTGGATGCTAAGGCCAGTCTAAAAAAATAGTGCTTTGAACTTGAATTTTTTCTTCCTATATGTAATCTGAGGCATTTCCAACAGGTTAGCCTGACTAGGAAGTGTAAGTAATGCTACAACAGGTTAGGAAATCATCTAACATAACAAACAATTGGGGCTGGCAACTCAGTCATTAAATGTTGCCACTAAGTGAAACCACAATTCTGATCTTGCTTCAGCTTTCCTTTGCTTTAACAACCTACCAAGGCTCATTAAAGGATTTTGTCGTTATTTTTTCATCACTGTGTAACCATGGAGGGTCACTAAATGAGGCAGTCACTTAGTGATGACTACCTGCATTGCCTACGCTATGGGCATCATCTTCAGCAATGAAGAACATAACTTATTGCTGTATAGATAATCTTCATTAAATAACCACTCATTTAGTGAGCATTCAAAGTAGTGACTTTGCTGAACCAGAGGGATTTTACAATACAGCCTCATAATTGCAGCCATTGCCACGTCCCCCTGGTCATGTGATCCCAATTCAAGGAAAGTCAATGGGAAAGTTGGCAGGAGGTTACAAATGGTATTCCCATGACCACAGGAATCTCTGATTTGCGTGACAGGGACAACTGGGATTACTGCAACTGTGGTTAAGTCACATGAAGTCATGCTTTATGATGTGATTTAGCAGTGGAGTTGCCACTCCTTATGACTATAGTTAATATATTCTACCTTTAAAAAAACCTAATTTACTGCACACTCATATCTAAGAAATCAAAGCTAATGTATATATAAAAATAGTAATATTCCCCCCCCCCACACACACACTTCAAATATGCAATTATCAATTTTTTCTTCATGTTCTCAGTAATACTGAGATTCTGAAATAAATATTGTTCTGCTGGTCCAGTGCAAAGAAGCACCATTCAAATTTCTGGATCATTTTGACTATCCATGATGAGAATTGTAACACATTTAACAAAGGGTGCTCTGTGTCCTTTCCACAGAGAATGTTCAAAAACATGCAACTCCTTACAGGTAGTTCTTGCTTTATCTGCCTTTAGTCATCAAAATTATAATGATGTAAAAAGTAATTTTTTGACCAATCCTTGTATTTATGACTCTTGCAATCTCCCATGGTGACATAATCACTATTGGGGCACTTCCCAATTGGCATGCATTACTGACCATTACAATATACAGAGATCATATGATCACCATTCACTTGCTTCGCAAATGGCTTCTCAGTTAATGGAGAATATGAAAGTAAAATTGAAGTTGTGGTCATATGATGTCTTGCTTAATGACTAGAATGATTTGCTTAATGACGAATGAAAAGTAATGTAAGCCTGTCATAGTCACACGATTTTACACTTAGTGATCACATGCTTACTGATGAAGTTGCCACTCCCAATTGTGGTCACAAAGTGAGAATTACCTGTAGTTATTTTACTTAATAGTTTAGCATAAGGACCTATAAGAAAGCCCTGCTGCGTTGATGACTTTGGGAATAGAATCAAGACACTTAAGTACAATTTCGGGAAAGATGCACAACGCATCATATTCTCTGTTATTTAGCAGAATGCCTACATCAAGTACAGTTTTTTTTTCAGGGCAGTAATCTGTTTTTTTTTTTAAACAAAAAACCAAAGCAAGTAAAGTTTGTAAGCTGCCCAAAGTCACTTCTGGTGAGATGCACAGCTATGCAAATATTACAAATAAATTAATAAAAACAAAGCATAGCATATTCCTGATGCATTTTGGAGGGCTATTTCTGTATACTGGCAATAATTTCTAAAAGATATTTTTGTATTCATTAGCAGTTAATCACTATAATAAATACATTTAAAGCATTGTGCATAGAAACATACTCTTTGATTTTCTTTTCTGATGGCTCTGAGCCGGGATCAAATATTCCTTTAGGAAGGTGCTGAATTAGTCCAATCCTTTGAGCTATCCGGATTTGCTCCTCTTCTGTTAATTGTGTGGCAAGACGTGCCTGGCTAGGCGTTGGGTGATACACTGGAATTGGAGTGTGATCCTAGAAAGTCAGACAATAGTGTGACTGAACATTTACTATTCTATTAAATAGTTTGTTACATGGATTCATAATTACACATAATACAAGCAACAATTCTCTTTTCTCTCAGATTACTAGAAAATTTAAAATACTCACCCCTTTAATATGCCCCCTCTTTAACTAATGAAAATAATCCAAACAAATCCCATACTGACACATATAGCTATTTATCGTTTTGACACACAGAGGGCTGAACTGTAAGATAATATTGTGGTATGGCAGATAGGTTAAAATAAGTTTTCTAATCAGTATCTGAAGCTTTTCTACAGGATCAGTCAGCTGTTGTTTTCACGTTACAGAAGCTCCTTTTTTTCTATATGCACATCTGTTATGAACCATGCAGGCTATTAATTCACCACTAAGGAGTGGATCCCCATGTTTTCTAACTAGTCTTACCTTTAGCACAAACATTTTGATTTGCAATATGTTAGCATGCGAAGATAATTTCCCAATTTCCTTCAGGTATTAATAAGCGCATTTCTCCCAAATCATTTTATTTTGAACTAAGGAGGCAAATTAGGTAAGAAACATGCACAAAATTTTCTGTGTTGTACACAGAAATCCTAAATAGCATTGCTCCATTCAGAATTTCAGGACACAAGAATTATAATGCTGCTTGAAGTCAACATTCAGCTTCATTTTGTAGTTTGTCCAATGATCACTAATTAAAATTTTCACAGTGAGAATGTCGGAAACAATGTACACTAGCAGTCAACATTTGATACATATATTACCCTTTTCCAATTTGATGCCTTTTCGACAGGGGTGGGAATCAACCGTTGTTACTACCAGTTCAGTGACTACGTTTTATCTTGCTGCGCGCATGTAAAGAAACCTTAAGCTGTGCTGCCCAGACAGCTGAAAAGCGCTGTGTGCAGGTGCGCAGCATTTGAAAAGCTCTTTTATTCCTGCTTTTTCAACCTCAGCTGTGCCGCGCAAAGCAGCTGAGGTTGAAAAAGCAGGAAATAAAGGACAGGTAAGAGTCCAGGCAGGCGGGTGGGTCAAATAGCAGCAAACACAGAACCAGTTCGGTGTCTGCTATTCTTCAGAGCTACCGGCTCTATAGAACCTGTAGCATCCCACCCCTGCTTCTCGACATGTTGGAACACAGCTTCCACAAATACTAGTCAGCATAGCTTGAAGAATAATGGGAGACACAGCCTAATAATTATGGAAGCTGGAAACGACTGACATACACAACTACTACATTTGAATGCTTGGGATTATAAAATGTATTTATCTTTTTTAAGAAAGCAATCTATGCTGCACTATTACGCAGTAATGAATTCCATAGAGGTGCTTGGTTTTGGTCTTTTTAAAACATGTCTTTATTCATCTCTGCCTATTCATTTGTGCTGAATGTTGAAGTGTCCTTGTAAATCCTTACTCATACAGAGTCTCTTTTTATATATCCACTATGAACATATAAAGGGAATTATTCAGGGGTGGGATTTAAATTTTTTAACAACCGGTTTTGTGGGTGTGGCTTAGGTGGTGGGCATGGCTTGGTGGTCATGTGACTGAGTGGACATGGCTTGGTCGTGTTATTGGCTGGGTGCGGCCAACTCAAAATCACTCATATCGAGGCACGCATTTCCTCGCCTGGCCTCTCAAGACTGTGGGGATGCTGCAACAGTCGTAAGTGTGGAAAATGGTCATAAGTCAGTTTTTTCAGTGCCACTGTAACTTTGAATGGTTGCTCCATACAAGCAAAGTACCAGCAAAGGAGGGGAAAAAAAACTCCAGAGATGTTCCTGAGACAAGAAGTCTGGTCCTGCCAAGAATGTAATAAGGGTTAACAGTGAGGCAGTTTCTACAAGCAACACCAGAATGTTTCCTTCCTGCCTTCCTTACAGGATTAGGCCAGTAATTTTTCTAACAACCTGTTCTCCGAACTGCTTAGAATGTTAACAGCCGGTTCTAGTGAATAGGTGAGAACTGGTAGAATCCCACCCCTGGAATTATTGCTTTATGCCATTCCCTGCTACTTACTGCACAAATTGTTCATGCCTAGCTTAAAGTGGATGGTTAGTTATTGGCATTGGATGTTATATGACCATGGCCCATAATTAAATGCATGGTTCAGTGTATTGTATGAATCCAGGCAAATGAGCAAGTTGTGATTCAAGTAATCACGAATTAGCATACCCTGTAACTCAATGGTTCTCAACCTATGATCCACAGACCCCTGGGGAGCCATGATGTCATCACAGAAGAGATCCACGAAAGCTTCAAAAATATTATGATTTAAATCTTGAGTTAAGTCTTGGTGGTCCATGGCCATGGTCCTTGGCCACAAAAGGTATTTAAAGGGGGTCTGTGGTGGAGAAAAGGTGGAGAACCACTGTGGTAACCAATTTCAGTCCAGGTCTGTAGTAACATATAAAATGACACTCTGTTTCTCAGTCTTCCCTGTCTCTTCTTCCTCTATACAACAGCAACTTCACTTTGGGGGGAAAAGTAGCCTGTGTGACAACTTGTGAAAACATAAAAGAAAAATATAATTGCTCTCAAATCTCTTGTGCTCTCAGTAATAGAAATCAGGGGCAGCTGAGACAACTAAACATTCACAAGGAACAAGGTATGCATATTTAACAAAAACAGGCTGGAAGCTTAAGACATGCTTCAGATCTTTATTTTCTTTCGCAAACAATCCCTGATTGATAGCATTTTTGTAGGATGAATTAAATTCCAGTTTCCAATTTCACTTGCAATTCAAACCTGATAAGAGTTCCTCATCAAAAGCTCTTGGGTAAATTTAGCAATAATGGGCTAAGAGGACTTCCTAAAAGTGAGGACAATTAACCAGTGGAACTTCAGAAGTTGCAGTTGCTTCATCACAGGAGGTTTTTAAGAAAAGACTGGACAGCCACCTGTCTGAAATGGTATAGGATCTCTTGCTTGAGCAGGGGGTTGGACTAGAAGACCCCTTAAAGTCCCTTCCAGCTCTATTCTGACTGACTGACTTCCAAAGCACATGACCACATTTCAGGTGCTTAGCAACTGGCTTGCCATTACAATTGCTATTAATATGTTAACCTAGGTTTGCTAGCAATGTATGTTGATGCAGTTACAGTCAAGCCTGATTCTTTGATAAGTGCATAAATATATGATGCTTATATGCCCTCACTTTCATACTTGACATTTTAAACTGAAAGAGCCCCAGCTCTAAAAAAAACCCTAATGAATCAAACTGTTCATGTATTAAGAGGCATTTGATTTTTGGTTTTCTCCTATGGAATGTTCCTAAAGACATGTTTGCTGTCTTTCTTCCTATCTCATTCATGATATTACAGAATATCCAATAACAGCTTCCTTTTGTAACTTTCCTGTGTTTTGTCTACTGAATTTCTCAATCATCAAGGTTGTGGTTGTCCCAAAGGTGCTTTCTTAAAAGGCAAAAATTGGACTTGGTTTTTCCTTGAAGACATTTCGCTTCTCATTGAAAGCTGAACAGAACTGAAGAAGCTTCTTGGATGAGAAGGGAAACATCTTCAAAGGAAAAACAAAGTCCAGTTGCCTTTTCAAAAAGCACTTTTGGGTTTCTTGTGCTTTCTACTTCCTTTTTCCCCTACTACATACAATATATTAAAAAATAAAAGACAGAATGTTTGCACAATTTCTTTGCTTCATAGTAGTAGGTCTTTGTCTGGAAGCCCCCACTGCAAAGATGAATTACATTCTCTAATAAATTACCCCAACAACCTTCAACTTCCCATGTCTTGTAATAAGCTAGTAGTGTTTTTTCCATAGCTGAATGACAATTCCTAGTTCTTTGTTTAGAATATTGACCATGACTTAGCTTAATTCCATTAATTTATGTCTCATAGGATTTCTTTTTCTGATTGGGAAGAGTAATTACAGCAATCCAAATGAATACTAGCCTACACTCACAGCAGCCCGAGTAGTCTTCTCTTCAACCAAGGGAGTTTCCAGACTGATGGTTGGTAGCACAAAAACAGCATTGTGCAGTTGGTATTTCATATTTTTCTCCTTAAAAGGTATTTAGTAATAAAGGGGGGGGGGAGGAAGTAATGAAAACACAGGAAGGTTACAACAAGCAGTCATTTTCTGGAATCTAAATTTTCACAAATGAGTTAATTAGAACAACAACTGCAATAATAAAAGCCTCCTCTAAACCCACCCCAAGTTTAAAAACATGTTTCCAACCCATGGTCAATACTGTGCCACAAGAGCCGGTGGCTGCGAAATGAATTCATCCTTGTAGCAATCTGCGGAAGAAGCGGGGGTCAACGCTGCAGCAATACCTGCCCTTATCTCCTAGGCAGGGTCTAGTTCACGTGCGGACCGAGTCAAGTTCTCCATCATGGCTCCGGCCACCCCCAGCCATCTCGCGTTACTTGTCCCCGAGTTGCGACATTCTCCAATGCCACCCGAATTCCTCCCCCTCGTCTGCACGCTGGCTAGCCCCTCGCTGGCTACTCAAAGCTGACCCCAACTGGCGAGAGCATGGGAGCATCATCAGTTCCAGGGCTCCGGGGCTCCCTTCCCCACCCCACGCGGTACCTGGTAGGGGGGCGGCTGGGCAGGGAGGGAGGGTGGGGGTGGGTCTCCAGGCCCAAGACTCGCTCCATCGCCGGTAGAATCGTTGAGTAGCGACAGGTCATCAGCTGCCTGCGAGGACAGGCAACCCCCCATGCCCGCCCGCTCCGGGTCGCTGCCGGGACCGGCCCAGCCAACCTCAGTCTACCAGATCTAGAGGGAAGGGGAGGAGTAGCGGCTGGGAAAAGGGGGGGGCTCGCCTAGCATGACGGGAATTGTAGTTCTTAGCTCCGGGAATCTTGCGCTTGCGCAATAAAGAACTCGTTCTCTTGAGGATGGAGGAAACGAGTCACGCGTAGTGCTGACCCGTACTTCGCCTTCAACCCCCTTTCCTTTCATGCTGATGCTGAATAAGACAGACACCACCGTGCAGTAACCTTTCTTGCTGTATGGTTTTAAAATAATTTGTAGTTTTATGCGTACTAGTGATAAAGCTACTAAACAGCCCCATCCCTCTGATTCTTGAAATGTATTACAATCAACTGTTGTTCTGGCGATTACTTGCATTACAAATTTTGCTAGAAGCATTTTCATTCCTGAGGTTTAAATAATGCTTCTAATGGGTAACATTTGATCTAGTGGTTAACTAAGAAAATGTAGAGCATCTTTATACATTCCTCACTGTTCTTGAAACCACCAATTCGAGCAAATGCCTTGCATGAATTACTTTCGTTTTCTAGAAGTCTGTTGTCATCCAACAATTACCTTGGGATCTTGGTAGTGACTAAGCTTGGTTTTCTTGTTGTGAACTGTTCATAATCTCTGTAACATAGTCAATGCTTTGATGCAAGAGGTTGGTATTTTATGAGGGGAAGCTTCTACCTATTTAAATAATTACATTATTGTAGGTTTTTATGTTAAGATTCTTCAAAAGGGAAGGATAGATCCCTCCTTGTACATTTATTTCCTGTAAATTTTGTATTCTTAGATTGGGCAAGGCTTCTACCTTCTGAAAGAAGCCTTATGGACAGGGACACACAAACCAAAGAGAGGGAAGGAACAGTATGCATTTTGTTTAATTTGGCTTTGATGAAATTTGCAGAATTCTGGAGATATTTGCAGTGACTTTTGTACCAAAACTTTCTGACCCAATTTCATTTTCTTATCTTACTGTTCTCATTTTGTAGACTGTAGAGGTTTGTTCTTTGAAAATAAAACATGATTTTAACTTTTATGGACAAGTTTATTTCCTAAGGAAGCAAGATCAATTAGTCATGATCACTAGGGACAATTAAAATGTTAACTGCTAAGGCAGCCTATGCACTTTTGCTTTATAATTTTTAAAGCTCCACATGTTGATCACTGCGAATGCAATACATTCATAATGTAATAGGATGCAATCTAGGTTACATATGAATAGTCTCCAAATTTTAAAATTTCAGGTATTTGTCTCCTATTCCCATAGGAAGACAGTACTTATATCAGCATTTGTGCATTTCCTGAATTTGGACAACAGGTTAAGATTAAAATTAGGTTGCTTTGAATGTGTTGTGTGAACCCATGAAACTAAATTAATTCACCATAATGTGATTACAGTCATTATTTGTAAAGTGTTCTATCCCTGAGTCATTAACAGAATAAAAATGTTTAAACATGAATCACTATCTGTTCACATAGTTTAAAACCGCCGTTGCAGCAAGTCACAATACAGTATTTGGTTAAAACAAGGAGTTATAGCAATTAAAATGCTGAACAAAATAATTTTGTTTGCAAAAATTCCATTACCTGCTCAGAAAATAGTTGTTGGATACTCACACCAAACTATTTCAAATGTGAGATCATTGTTATCTGTACACATATAGGTGACAAAAGAAATGTAAGGATAACATACTTGCAAATATAAAGTGAGAATTCAACTTCAGATAGGTAATACTGTGTAGTTATTCTATCAATTAGACATCCATTAGGTCTGCCCAGACTATTCCCACTGTGATTTTTTTTGTTCCCAATTCTTTAACCTTTTCATTAATATTAATTGCAGATCTTCCATAATAGATGTTAAATGCTTCTTTTACATTGAAATGCACGTGTTGTTAAATCAATACATGAAAACAAGCTGCTTTGCTTTAGAAGACTATGTCATTCCTCTAGTTTTCCCTACGGGACAGCAGACCTAAAAACTACAATATATAATAGTATTAATAGGAAGTACTTGGGCACAATCTTCCAAAGCTTTTTAACCTTATGATGAGAGATTCTGAAAGTCTTGTTATCGTAACTTCCTATCAGAGTAAATTTTGTGATGAGATGGTGCCCATGGCAGGCTGAATCGAAAACTCAGTACTAACAAACAGATTAAATTCTGATAGTATTCTAGATCAGTGGTCACCAACCTTTATGGCTTGGTAGTCCAGTGAGGGTAGAGGGGAACTGGGCCAAGCCACAACTGAGCTGTGGCCTGTTTGAAACTGGACAAGTGGCAGGCTTGCACACACATCCCATTCAAGTAGCATGAGCAACGGGCCAGCACGTGTGTGCAGTTCAAATAGCGCAAGGGATGGGCTGTTGAGCTGTGTGCACATGCGCACTAGTCAAGCTGTGCATATGCATCAGCCTGCCATTCACACTGTTTGGTTCAAAACAGGCCACAGACCTGTAATGGGCTGTGGCCTGGAGGTCCCTATTCTAGATTGTTTTTGTGAGAATTCAGACTGCCATTTTTGTCAGGCACAATTCCTTCTGCTCCTTATATGAGGAATTCTGACAAGCATGTTGGTGCTTGTTTGAGAGGGACTGAGTAAACAAACATGTAAACATAACCAAGAACCTTAATGAATGTATCTTTTCTTTGTGTACTGAGAGTATTTACACCAAGACAAATTCCTTGTGTGTCCAATCACACTTGACCAATAAAGTATTCTATTCTATTCTATTCTTGTTGCATTGTCTTCAATATGCTATAGAACTGTTGAATTTCGTTAATCATCCAGTTAACAATGACAATCCATTAACTAATCCACTATTTCATACCTTAATCAAATTGCTTCATTTCACACAGCACACCAAATCTTTTGGCTTTGAAAAAACCTTTTACCTAAAATGTGGTGGACTAATTTGCAACTCAGGGGTTGCATCTACACAAGCAGACTTTTCATAACCGATTCAATTCAGTTGCCTCGGTTGGCCTTAACGATAAAGTAACAAGTGCACGAATATGCGTCGTAGAGTACTTCAGTCTATTTTTACTGGCTACTTGTGGATTAACGTGCTATGCAGAAGCAGGAAACTGGATCAATTCAGTGAACCGTGGTTCCGTTAATCATGGGTTACCATTCCACGTAAAGACGGGGCCTATAATCCACTGTACAAGAAAACATAATTCTTGCTCGTTATAAATTCAATATTTTAGGAAGCCATTCGAAAACAACCTTCATTCCGGTTCGGGACCATTCTCCGCAAGGTAAGGTCGCGCCACGTGACCGCTAGTACCCAGACTCCAGAAGAAGGGGCGTGGCTACCGCCCTTTCTTGAGCTGCTACATGATGCACTTTTTTCCTCCGACGTGCGTAAGCAGTTCGGCTTCCTGTCGCATTTGCGCCGGGACACGTGACAGGCAGAGACGGCGGCCGGCCCGGCTCACAGTCCGCGTGTAGCGTTCGCTTCTGGCTTGCCGCCCCCTTCCTTCTTTCTCTCCCTCCTTCGAAGCTGACGCCGCGGCCTCAGCCTGGGCACGCGGGAAGCAGGCAGGTACCTCGCCGGGGGGAAGGGTGGTCGGTGGAGGGTCAGGAGCGCCGGTACGAGGCGGATGGCGCGACTTTCGGCCTAGACAGGAGGAGTTGGGTGAAGGAGAGCCTTCAGGAGTCCGGCCAAAGCTGGCCTGAAGGTGCTGCGGTCGGGTGGCCTGAGGAGGGCCGGTGGCGGAGCGGAGACTCTTGATTGTCTGAGGAGACGCCAGCCATGCTTGAACTGGGTGGATTGGTAGGCGCGACGCTGCCGGCTGAGCTCCTCGGGGTCGCTGGCGGGGGGGGCGGGGGTGGAAGCGACCCCGAAAGCTTCAGTTGCGGCTGTTGGGGCCCTCCTGTCTCGGGAGTGGCTTTTCGAGGAAGGGGGCTTAGGTGCCCCGCGGTGGCGGCTGCTTTCCGTGGTGCGCCTCTGTGTAGGAGGTGATGCTGCGGAACCCGGGCGGGCGGGCGGAGACAGAAAAGCAAGCGCGTTGGGGACGGCGCGGAAATGTGCTTCCAAAATGCAAGACAAAAGCCTCGGGCTGATCGTGAGCGCCCGCGGGTTCGCTTAGCCCCAGTATCATCTTTTCGCCGAACACAGCTGCCCAGAGACGCTCTCCAAAACCTCAGAAAGGGCAAGAAAAGACTGCTTTCTTTTCTGCACGCGATTGTCTTCTGGGCCCTCCCTCCTCCCGGTACTTGGAGATAATAATCTTTAACATGGAGGCCCCGTTGAATCGTTGCTGATGGTTGCCTGGCGGGATCGTGGAATAAAAGGATTTCCTGGGTGTTTCCATTGAGTTTTTCAGTGGATTTAGTCCGTAATACCCCCCACCCCATCAAAATAACTGCAATAGAATGGTAGAATAGCTTTATTTTTCTGCTTGTGGCCCCTTTCAAGCATTTATGCTTGATTTAAGGGCTTACATTAGGAGGAATGGAACCCTTTTCCCCCCTTGGTTACTATTTAAAATTATTGGGATTTTTTTTTTTGCCAATTGAGTTCAAATGTCTGCTATTAGCAACTCTTGATTTTTCTATATATTTTTTTAGAATTGAGGGTTCATATACATTTTTTTTCACAGCAATGCTTGCTTTATATTTTCTGTTCTTAGGGCTTTATAAATAGTTTATCCTTAAGTGTCTGTTTCCAATAATACCCTGGGTTTTATTGTAATTCTTTTAAGCCTTTTTTGGAACAATATCCTGCTATTCAATTCAAAAGTAATAAAAAGTTTCCTTGCTTTTGGTCGTGCTAATATGATCTTTTTTAAAAAATTGGTGTTTGGGAACATATGACATAAGCTTACAAAACAATAGAAGAAGGGGGAGCTTTTAAAGAAGGAAGAGCAGGTCCCATAGATTAATTTTTATAATAAAAGAATTTGGTCTTGACTGAAATGTAAAGAAAAATACAAACAGAGTTAGAGGGTGTAGTTTTATTTGGTTCTCTATCATAGAATATTGGGTGTTATGTAGAAATCCCACAAA